GAGAACTACCCCGAGTATTATCATAGATCCTTTCCTTGGCAATTTCCTGCTTAAAAGTTCGATAAATCTCTAGTGCGGGTTTCTTAATCATGCCCATTTTCCACATGTCAGTCTCCGTTTCCTTCACTTTCTTCTTAACCGATAGTTCTTTTTGGTTTGGCCACCTGCTGTTTTCTAAGTATTTACCAGTCAACTTCCTGGTTCGCTTGCTCCATTTTGTATCGACATTCTTCATGTACAAGTAGCTGAAAACCTTTCTAGCCCAACGCTCCCCCTTCATTTCTCTCAATCGCTTCTCAAATTTTATCTTGCTGCTAGCTTCCCTGCCCTCAAATGATGTCCATCCCATATCACCTTGTACTCCCTGATTTGGTGTATTCCCGTGAGCTCCTAAAGCAAGCCTACCTATTCCACGTTGCTTAATTTCCAATCTTGCTTGAACTTCTGATCTCATGCACAAGACCGCATTGCCGAACGTCAGCCCAGGAACCATGGGCCGCGTCATGGAGGCGCCGCTGGCGCCACGTACATACATCACGTGACCACGTCGGAGAGATGTTATCGCGAGCCGGCGCGCGCGGCTGTGTTCTGGTGTCGCGAAGGGGCCCACGCTCGGAGGAGTTTCTTGTTGAAACAATATTAAAATCATGCTTTGCGGTTGCGGTATAAGCTCGTTCTATTCGCTACACCTCCACTGCAGTAGAATATCCTGCGTACTTGAGAATGAGACAGTTCGTAGAAATGGTGAGTCTGTCGTAGTTAACTTTCGCATTCAAAAAACATCGTAAGTACACCATGAAATTATACGTACGCGCTGTTTGACTGACCAGATGAACTCACGCATTCAGTTGTGCAAAACACTTATACGCAATTTTTTTGCCTAATATTCCGACCACTTTTTTTTTATTGAGAAGCGAACAAAACAGAAAAAAAACTTCCTTACCGAGAATAAAAAAAGATTGTTCACCACCTCTGATAATTTCAACGCACTTGTTTTTTTTATTTGTTTTTGTACACACTATCTGGCAACCCTGAGACGCTGGGTGAGAGGACATTAGAATTTTCACATCAGAGGGATAACAATAATTCAAAAATTCGCGCAAGCTCATAACAACGTGTGGAACCCACCATTACATCGATACTGGTTTCAACGACATATCAGTGATGATGATGAGATGGAACTACCAATGTTTATATTCTCTCTTCGGCAAAACAACCCGCTTACAACAATGCCGCTGAGCCGCATTATAAGTTATATCAAACAAGTCTGGCTGCTGCGTGTTCGTGCCAAAAGGGGGGGGGGGGGGTAATGCGCGTGTTGTGTAATCCTCGAAAGGAAAGAAAACGGGAAATTTTTGCGTCCAAACACCCCTCTATTATTATGGGGGACTCCGTGTGGTAATGGTCTCTAGAAATTTCACTCTCCGCCATTTAAAGAGATAATGAATAAAAAATAAGGAAAATTGACAAAAACACGGAAGTTCTCTTAGGAAGGCGCGCATGTTCCGCTGAACAAAGTTCACATATCTTTGAGTAATTTAGTTGTATTTTTGGTAGACTGTCATCGCGCGGCGGCAGCACGTGACTCTTAATTGCTGTCAGAGTCTCCGAGGCACACGCAGGGCGCGGGTGTTCAGACCCTTCTCTTCCATTTTCCCACCTCTCCTTTCATCCTAATCTTTCCTTACACAAAAGCGCTGATGCTTTAGCTCCAAGCCGGGAGCGCTACTCGCTGCCAGTGCCGTTCGTAGTGGAGTCATCCCACGCCAAACATACCACCCATTTTGGCGACCACCTCAAATCGATTCGTAGAAATATCCTGCTGATTTACTGCATTGAAAGCAGTGAATCACTAAAATATTTCGGGAAGAAAAAATTGTGGTCACGTGAGTGCTTTCCGAATTCATCCAACTGTCGTATGTCTGTTGTTCGTGAAAAAAAAATATTTTTTGAAAGAGCCACTCTCTCTTTCAATGCCAAATTTAGTTTTATATTAAGTAATGGTGACTGTGCAAGGTGTTTTAAGCTAATCATTATCAGCGCAATTTTTTGGCCACATACACCTACAAGAATTTAGCCGAAAGTGGTTATGTTTGCAGTTTTTCTATTGCACATCTGCTTTTTATAGAATATCTCAGAAATTAATAATTACTCCATGGAAGGTATATTTTGCAAAAAAAATTGCCTTTGCACCCCTCAAGTCGCTAAACTTACGAGAAAAAAATCTCAAATTTCCCAAAATCATCAACTTTGTCCACATTGAGGCCAATTTGCACCACGTGGTGGTCTCACTAAAGATAGCATTTATATTTAACTGGAAAGCAAATAAGCAGTTCTTTTGCTATCCCAAATTTATCATTGCAATTTTTGTTTCATGGAGGAAAATAATTTTTGAAGTTTCCAATAGGCGGCTATCTTCTCATTTGGTTATATGGCAGCTTCCCTCTAGTTCCCCGTGGCCCCGGCATTCCTCAAGACAGGGCGTTTCCTCTCTGCCTGAGTATGAATCTACGACATGCACGCGGGTGATGTTATCGCATGCGCCCATCGTGCGACTGAGATGAGTCGGTTTGCTTCCCCTTTGCTTCAGCCACGTTCGTAGTGCTCACTCGCGTTCATTTACCCGCAGCTAGAACATGCGATTTGGACTTTCTAAGGTGCGTGACGGCGATGCCAATATCAGAAACGCGTCAGAGTATTCATATCACAGTAAAAAGATTAAGAGGAACTATGAATAAACGATTGTTAGTTACACGCACCCAGGCTCTCTTTCAACACATCGTGCCCTCCAAAAAAGTGGCCTGGTAGTGGCATTTCCGCTAGGAAATAACTAATCAGAGCAGCCAACTTCTAGACTTTTTCATACGGTTCACTGTTGTCTCCGTACCTACAATAACAGCACTACGTCTGTTGGCATCCACGGCCATTTTCTCCTTCCCACAAACTGAGAGGCACCCGTGAGCTCTACTTAGATTTTTGCCGTGCCTCTGACAGACAGCTTTTACAGTGTAATAAGTGACCAACGACCGCTAAACTTGGCAGGCAGACCGAGATGGGCCGATCACAACTAATCACAACAATTTATCGACGACTACTTTGAGTACGACGATAAAGAATAGCAAAAAAACAAAACAATCCTAGATGGAGAAAAAGATTTATTACATAAAATGCATGCCTCCATCTCCCCCCAGGATACAGATGACAATCTTCGCACAAGTGCGGTCCCGGTCGTTTTCCAGATGCACTGTTAACGCCATCATTTTGGGTCACTATCTACTTTCAGAGGCTCATTGCTGAACTTCGGGTGTGGGGCCTTGGTTGCGAGCGACCGGTCTTCAGTGACTTGCGTCTTCTTCTTGCGATGTGATTCGGTCTCTAGATGCTCCAGCTTGTAGCCGACGTTCTCAGACAGCACGATGCCGCGGACTCGGCAGGACAGGTCGATCACTTCGCCATTCTGTTCCTTCAGCTCTGACATGGTCGACATCGGCGGTGACATCGGCAACGGCATCGGCGAGATCTCAGCAGACGCGAGCGGCCTCAGGACTTCTTCCCTCTGTGATGTCTTCGTATGCTTTTTTGCCCTCAGCACGAGCGATTAGGTCGTCCTCGATGTTCAAGGCCACACCAGATAACTTGGAGACAAAGGGATTCGAAGCGATCTGGGGCGACGGTAGCGCCGCGGCGGAAGGACCGACTGCCGTTTTGACATCCGGGTTGAAGTTCACTGGGCTCCCCCTCGCGGCCATTTCAACTAACAGTCTGTGGGTTTCAACTCTTTTCTGATGTTTCGGGCTCTTCAGGTCGTCCAAATAAGGCACGGGCCCGCTGAACTGCATGCTTTATTCCCGGCAAACGAACTGCGCCAATGCCACGAGCGGAAAAAGGAAGGCAGAGACTGCTGCGCCGCGCGGCGCATGAGCCACCCCCACAGATTTGGTTGCACGTTAAACACCAGGTGGTCTAAATTTGTGGAGCCCTCCACTAAGGCGTCCCTCATAATCATATGGTGGTTTTGGGACGACAAACCCCACAAATCAATCAATCAATCAATCAAGCAGAAGCAGACGACACGTTTCGCCAGCGCTTGGTGGAAATTTGAACATGACATTGATTGTGAATGTGAACAGTGATAACGGCGTGATGAGAACGTTGTGATAGTGACAGACGGCAGTGCAGAGATTCACGCAGCAGCTGGGGGGTGAATTCATTTGTTTTTGGCTAAATACGCGCATAGGGGTGACGGGTGTACAAGCCTTGTGGGCACGCGGAGTGGACGACAGGCCATGCACCAGCGCCTTTGATTGAACATTAAAAAAAAAAAAAAGAAAAGGCGCGATGGCGATGAACCTGCACCATCTGTACCTGCCCATCGTTTGCACCGCTGCGGCACCATCTGAACATTTGCTGCACTGGTACCGCACATCACACCGAAATCAAACACCTTGAAACCGAAACTGATAGCACAGTATTTTTTTTTCTCCGCTTTGAACTAATAATTTATTTCTCCTAGAAAACAAAAGAAGGTTTGTCGTTTTGTCTAACGGGGCTCCAATCGACTGGGAAGAGGATAAGTGGAAGAATTGAGAGGTACATTTTGAAATATTAGTTTTGAATAGTTCTGAACAAACGCAGGTTGCGCGCCCTGGACAACACCGGAGATTGCATGCTCTTGATTTGAGTCTTGAACCAAAAACAAATAATTTTTATAAATGCATGGTTTTAAATGAAAGTAAAAAACACAATACTAGAGGAACGTGCCCTTTTGAACAATTTTTAGAGTTTAAAAATACAAAATTAGAAAACTGCAAAGCCAGGTGCAAAAATTGTATGATTTCTTAACTGCCGTTAAAATAATTTAATTTTTTATAATCGCACTTACTTTTGCAAATAAATTAATAATTTTTGCATATCAGTATCAACTACGAACTGATTTTAATTTTGTTTTTAATTGGCTATGACTTGACTTTGGATCGTCGTCTTGTCTTTATGCTATGACCTTGGTTATGAAAACGTATGTGGAGACGATTCAACCTTTCATTCACAAGCCTAGCAAGCGTGCGCGCTGATTTAACGCTTAGCTCAGCATGGTACGCAAACTGAAATATCATGAGCAGAAGCTCTTGAAGAAGGTTGACTTTATATCATGGGAAGTCGATAACAACCTCCATGAAGTAAAGATTATGAGAAAGTATTATGTACAGAAACGCGAGGATTACACTAAGTGAGTACTATTGTTGCTGGCTGTTCATCGGTCGGTCACCTCGGTCCGTTCAAGCAGGCTGCATTCACGCACTGCGTGTGATGCTGTACCACTTAATGTGCATGTAATGTTTGCGCAGGTACAATAAGCTGTCACGGGCTATACGGGATCTGGCGCGGAAGATCAAAGAGTTAGATCCGAAGGACCCATTTCGTGCCAAGGCAACCACAGACTTGCTCAACAAACTGTAAGTTGGAGAAGCATTCATGTTTGCCTCTTGTGCCTGCTCCACGTGCGTGTAATTTGGCCGGCTTATGCCTGCAACTCTATTTTTATGTGCCTGTATGGGAATAAAACGTGGAAGGCAATGGAGGTAACACAGTTCATTGCACTGCTGCTACTACTGCTTCAGCCAACTTGCTTCAGCCAACCTGATTATAGAACCTCACTTTGGTATTTTCGCGGCTTCAGGAAGCAGTGGGTTAGGCCGACAACACCGCACAGATCTCGATATCGGACTGGTGCTGTTATAATTCGCTGCTGTGCCACTTCATGTCAGTGGTATAGTGCTAATGCGCTTTACAAACACCGTTGCTCTGGATCGGTTCAAGCTTTTATCCTTATTATGGAACGTCAAATATACTTGGAATGTCGTCAGATCTCAACCAAATAAGGATCATGTACTCATCAGGGCAAAGATATATGCAAGAAGTGTGAATGCCCTTACCCCGCCTTTCCTCTTGTGAGAAGGCACATTGAGGCTCTTGGTTCGCCGTATGACATAGCAAATTTACATTTGGCTCAGAGCCAGGCATGAAATGCATGAATAATTGTTTATCTTCACACTGCTTACAAGCACAAGAATTGATTGATTTGTGGGGTTTAACGTCCCAAAACCACCATATGATTATGAGAGACGCCGTAGTGGAGGGCTCCGGAAATTTTGACCACCTGGGGTTCTTTAACGTGCACCCAAATCTGAGCACACGGGCCTCGACATTTCCGCCTCCATCGGAAATGCAGCCGCCACAGCCAGGATTTGAACCCGCGACCTAAGCACAAGAATGTGTGCGCCAGTTTCTCCTTATACCCTCCTGTGGCACACACTGCTTTGAGGCACTACATGACATTAGATAACTGGAAACACACATTTGCAGCAGAGTTTACGCACATCTATGTTTCTTATCATTCCTGCACATTACTGCAGCTGTGCAACGACCCTCTAATATCTCAACACTTTCAATTTTGTTGGGAACAACTGACAGAACAATGCAAGACCAAATGGGTACAAAAATTCACACTACAAAAGAACATAGCATTATGTATTCATTATACAGTACTATTGAACTCCATTAATTGAAAGGTAAAAGGTGATGCTTTGAATATGTGTCAATTTATGAAGTAAACACAAGGCTGAATTTACACATAAGTTTTGTTTCATTTAGAAACGGTTCGTGGCATCAGATACAAAAAGGTGCAGGCAGTGCTGACCTTATGCACAGCAGTTATCGGCGCCTAATTTCAGTGTGCAGATGCAACATATCAACATCGCCACTGCAGTTGAATGCTGAGGTGCAGGCAACCAGTAGCGGCTGCATAGTGACATTTTACAGGCAAAATGCAGTGTGAGAGGCAAAAGTAGAACTTTTATATGCATCGCATGTTCACAGATTTCCTGACATGGGCATGAATTACTCCACATTATCATGAATCTAGCAGAAACTGAGAGTGAAGACCAAGAATTTGATGCGGTGTGAAATGTCTAGCTTCTGCCATCTACAATATAAAACAAAGGAAAGCTAGGAAATACGATGATTGTGCATGTGCATACAACCTGTCTAGCATACTGCCATTTTAATGAGATTATCTGCCCCGCCACAGTGGTCTAGTGGCTAAGGTACTCGGCTGCTGACCCGCAGGTCACAGGATCGAATCCCGGTTGCGATGGCTGCATTTTCGTTGGAGGTGTAATAGTTGTAGGCCCGTGTGCTCAAATTTGGGTGCACGTTAAAGAAACCCAGGTGGTCGAAATTTTCAGAGCCCTCCACTACGGCGTCTCTCATAATCATTTGGTGATTTGGGGACGTTAAACCCCACATATCAATCAATCAATTATAGGATTACCTGCTGTTGAGATGGGAGGAGCTTGGCATCCCTGCTATGACTATGATGCCAAGTTCATCCACAATGGGGAGCATTTCCATTGGGCTACTGTCATTATAAACAACCACCTAGTAGGACTGCTGGTGTTATCTGCACGTGCTGTCAGTGATGCTACAAAAAATGCACTCATGCACTGGAAGGTGTAAGGTGGCGGTCGTGGTAACTAAAATAAAATACTAATGCATTTGTTCTGGCAGTGAAATAACTTTAGTTATAGACAGAATAAGAGCAGCATGAATGCACAATGAGTAAAAGTCTTATTCTCGATGCAAAGTGTGATTTGCGAATGAAGCCGTCACCGTGTCTTCATCATCCCTTCTTGCTCAATGGTCACAACACTGTCCGGTGCCCTCTTTTTCTGTGCTGGCAGTTGCCCTATGCTATTGGATTACATCCAGAGGGGCGCGTTCTGAGCTCGCACGAGAGGCTGTGAAGAAAGACAGTTATCTTGGCACTGAAGACCATATACCAAAATTCTACGTCTTCTCAGAATTTCGTTTTCAACTCATTTTTTCCTGAACTGATGCCTTCATGTGCCTTAACCATATAGCTCAATTTGCTGCTATAGCCGAACTGGTTGTTGAAGCATCGTTTCTGCGAGCATTTGCCCATGGCACGACATAATCTTGCAGTCGCCACCAGGAAATTTAGATTGAACGATTCCAATCTTGCACATCTGCCTTTGTAGCATCGAATCACTCAGTAGTACAACTTCGCTTGGTATTTTCATTTGCAGCTGCCTTAGTATTTTCATTTTTAGCCGGTAGTTCTGGAGAGACGTTGCAGTTCTCTCTGAGAATTTGTTCAGTAGTTTAATTCGATGGGACATCACTTTGAGGTAGGAGGAGCAAAGGGTTGCAATCTCTAGGTGTTGTAAGTTAGACAGTGATGTCAGCCATCTTCTCATTGAAAATAAAGCTGGATGAAGCAGTTCGGGCTTGTTAGGCTCAGTATGGATGTCTTAGGGGCACGAATTTACCATGGCATCCATTTTGCTCAGCATTGTTCTGAGCTCTTCAAATCCAAGGCTGCTCGTTCCCAGCGTTTTCCTCAGAGCTTGTTTAGCGAGTTCAGCCAAGGTTTCATAAAATCTGCCAATCATGGCATGCATTCCGATACGAATTTCCTTTGTATGTGAGAGTTGGCAACAAAGTTCTTAACCTCTGTGTTTCTAATAACTGTCCAAGATGTGGCTAGATTCCTGCGTGTCTTTTTGGAACATCCTTGTCTTGGTCGTCCTTGTTGAGATGTGACCAGCAGACATGTTATTCATCAGCTAGAGTTGTATAGCCCAGGTTACACTACATGTCAAGAGAGCAATGTAAGACTTCATTGTCGTTGCTCCTTTGAGAAGAGGGCCAGCAAGGTCAATACTGGTCACTTCAAAAGGAGAGGCCTTGGTGGCCTTGAATGAAAACAATGACACATTATGCACGCCGAAAATACTCGCAGTCCTGCCTCGATCACACAATATGGTACATTCAGACAGACTGAATCTGCTTTTGGAGGCGTGGGCGACGCGCCACGTGGCCTCACATCAGCGATTTCTCTCTTCTGCGTGCCTCGCAAATGGATGAGCCCAACCGGTTTTTCATATCGGGTATCTGGCGGCATAACGCTGCAGCTTTAGCTCACAAACAGACTGGCAACTAGTACACTTTTCATCTGCACAAGCCAAACAGTTGCAGTTGATTTCAGCTCTGTGTGCACTTAGTTCAATTTATTTTTGGGGCTATATTTCAAGACGATCACCTTTGAGATGTCTATCACTTTTAATGCACACTGATCGGCAGATTGGAGAATAGCGGATAAGTTTTCTCTTGAATCATTTCTAGAGACCAGATTGTAGGCAAGTGCCTATTCTGTTCCTTAAAGGGACACTGAAACACTTTGACAAAAAAAAAAAAAAAGTGGTTATGGTGTCATGATACAAAATTTTGTGTTTCTAACTCGAAAAATTAGGTAGAAAAATTGAATAAACTAATGCAAATAACTTTATTTTGCCAAAAAAGAGCAACAGGCGCCGCAGCCGCCATCGCGAGTCTCGCCGCCACTGTGATTGATTGGTCGGGAAGGTGAGCACAGCTGGCTGCGCTCGCCGGCAGTCAATGCTGTGTTTATCTGTTGAGGCACTGCACCGTGCTCCCTACCAGGCTGCAGAAATCGGGCACCCTATTCTAGCCATTACCATCACCACCACCACTCTCTGTTGAAATCGGGTAGTTGCTGCAAGTATGGCGACCTCTGAAAGTCGGACCGAGTTCGCTGTACATCCATACATGTTCAATGACTGAAGCGGCACATAGAAGCCAGTCTCAACCAGACACCTTCTCCCGCGTTGAAAACATAGAATGGCACGTATAAGACGCATGTCGGTACTTAATTTCACTGTAGTAAACGGTTGCAAATGATACGCTTTTCAGTGGATATCAAATTCGATAAGAAACAGCAGCATCGGCACTTGCTTTTAGCCGCGTATTGGCACCGTCCACGCTAGGTGCGGGCAGCGTGCAGAAACATCACTTGTTTGGGGATTTTACAGCTCACAGTAAAGCGTTGGTAATGCTGTCAGTATCCTACTTCGCAGTGAGAAAGGCGCATGCGTTGAGTCGGTAAGCTACGACCAGAAAAAAAAAAAAAAAAGTCAGATGAGTGTTGCTCTTGCTGCAGTGGTAATATGTGCTCTGAACTGCCCTGAAAGTTGTGCAAGAATAGTTTGGCTCATACATTGCAGTTCTCTTTTTCATAATACCGTCCCTTTTTCTAGATTCAGCCCAGTACTACAGTGATGTGTTAAAATGAAAATGGTATATTAGCTGAGCTAGAAGCGTGCAACTGTCGTGTAGAATAGCTGATTTTAATTATGCATAGTGATATCTTTGAACACCTGTTTTTGACATAGGTGCTCATGAACGTACTGCATGCAAATGGGGAAAAAGGAGGAGTACTGCTGCTGCCTCGAAATTCGCAGATTCGCGACCACCACAGCGCACTTCATCTTGTAGGTTTGAAGTATTTTTTTTTCAACTGTAGTGGCTCATTTTGCAGCCATCTTCTGATCCAGTGAAAACTTGTGAAAGGCGA